TCCACACACACACACACACACACACACACACACACATATATATATATATATGGAGAGATAGATTACACTGTACATATGGTTTCTAAAATGTCTAAAATCACAGTTATGAAATGGTGAACCACATATATGTAAACAACATTTTGAAGTTTAGTAAACAGCTTATTTATTCCTTTACAAAATAGGTACAAATACAGAAGTATGTTCACACAAACAGAAATATTTCAGGATATGTACAGAATTTACCAAAAATAAGATAGTTCTAATAAACATAAGGTCTTGTAAACAATATATACAAATTATCCGTAGATCCAAACATTAAATTCCAGCTGCGCACGTCAGTAATACAATATGAAGAGAGTCCTAATAATATTTTGGCTACAAAGCGTAAGTCATAGAAAGAGCCTCCAGCGGAAAACAGAAGATTAATAAAGTCAGTTTAAACAATCCAACAAATACATTTGTGCTTGTTTCAAAAGGGACTGTCGGGGAATGAAGCGTATTGCCTGAAAAGTGGCAAATGAGAAAATATAAATAGGTAGTTTTACAGACCCAGACGGACACACGGCTGATTCCAGCTGGACGTCAGAAACACTGAAGACAGAGAAACCAAACTAAAACCCTCCATGTGCGTTCAGTTTCACACAAACACAAACTGCAAAGCAACGGGATTCATGGTGCATAGAAGAGCGAGCGGATCCATTTCTGATCGGACTCAGAATGAAGAAAGATCACAGAACTTGACCTCTCCTGACATCATGTACGGCAAACCCTCGCCAAAATAAATGCTTACAGGATTCGACTTCCTCGTAATTGAGCTTATGTATGATAAATGAAGGACTGACATCAATTACTTAAAATAGCTTAAAGTATCGGCACACAAACAGGAGAATGAACTGATAATACTGAGTTTAAAACAGGTAGAATTGGCAGTGAATCCAGTTTTACAGTCCAGATGAAAACATGAAATCAAACTAAATCACTAATACTTTCATAATACATGTTCCTAGTGTTAATGTGATTGATTCATCAGTGCATGTTATCCTAAATTAAAATGTTTGTCTTCATAACCTGCTGCTGCATTCAGGTTGGAATGAACAAATCTTGGGATTCGTTGAGAAAGTCTCGCCTTTTCTGATTGAATATGGCGTTTGATTGGGAAAAGCATCACACAATCAGAAGTCAAATGTTGATTTTAACATTCAGACGATGTGTTGGTGTGGTTGTATTGCTATAGCTCAGATCTGCTGGCCTGATTTCGGGAAACACGGCATTCGTGGCACATATTAAAGCTACACGAATCACAATGACAGACACAAGCTTCGTGATCGATTTAGAAGGAACGCTTCGTTCCGAGTTTAAAACGTCATTTTCATCTGGAAATCATTTATACATGCTGTTAAAAACAATACTCATCAAGTCTATTTACATTAAAGTCTCGCTGATAAAAGTTTCGAAAAAGTGTTTTTAAGTCAAGTTTTTATGGGGTTTTCAATACTGTGATTTGCTGGACACTGATGATGATGATGTTTGGGAAAGTCTGCGTAAGGTTTTGAGAATGACGCGATTCTTTAACAGAAAGTACACTGATCACTTCAAGGCATTTCGTCTCAAAGATCGTCACTGTAAGCGCTCCGTGTTGAATATACAACAGAATGACACTGTTTCACTCAATTCATCAGGAATTAAAAAATATTGAAATATATTCTACTAAAAAATGCATAACATATTATGATATTCTTGTTAAAAGTGCAAATAAACAAAATATACTGAATTCAAGATATATTCTATGTGGCCACGTTGCACTAATTCGTTCCCTCGTTTTAGTAAATCATGAAAAATTTGTACGAATTCATTCCATTGTTTTAGTTGAATATACAACAGAATGACACTGTTTCACTCAATTCATCAGGAATTAAAAAAATATTGAAATATATTCTACTAAAAAATGCATAACATATTATGATATTCTTGTTAAAATGCAAATAAACAAAATATACTGAATTCAAGATATATTCTATGTGGCCACGTTGCACTAATTCGTTCCCTCGTTTTAGTAAATCATGAAAAATTTGTACGAATTCATTCCATTGTTTTAGTCAATTGTCATTGTTTTAGTCAATTGTGGAAAATTTTTACTAATTTGTTCCCTCATTTTAGTAAATCGTGGCAAATTTGAACAAATTTGTTCCATTGTTTTAGTAAATCATGGCAAATTTCTACGAATCTGTTCCATTGTTTTAGTAAAATGGTAGCAAATTTGTCCTAATTAGTTCTATGGTTTTAGTAAATCGCGGTAAATTTATACTAATTTGTTTCCTCCTTTTTGGTAAATCATGGCAAATTTGCATTGACTCATTTCCTCGTTTTAGTAAATCATCGCCAATTTGTACCAATTTCTTCCCTTATTTTAGTAAATTGTGGCAACTTTGTACTAATTCTTCCCTTGTATTAGTAAATCATGAAAAATGTGCATAAATTCATTCCATTGTTTCAGTAAATCGTGGCAAATCTGTACTAATTTGTTCCCTCATTTTAGTAAATTGTGGCAAATTTTTACTAATTAATTTCATAGTTTTAGTAAATTGTAGCCAACTTGTACAAATTTGTTCCATTGTTTTAGTAAATCGTGGCAAATTTGTAGTAATTTGTTCCCTCGTTTTAGTAAATCGTTGCCAATTTGTACCAATTAGTACTTATTTGTCCCTCAGTTTAGTAAATCATACTAATTCATTCCCTAGTTTTCATTCAAATTGAGGGAAAGAATACGGACAATGTGGCCATGATTTACTACAATGAAGGCAACGAATAGTAAACTGTGGTCACAATGTAATGAAAAAAAGGGAACGAATTAATAAAACGAGGGAATTAATTCTTAATTTGGGCCACACAATAAATATATTTAACTTACAGTTTATGTATATTTGTGTAAATTCATCTTATTTTGTGGATTTTTTTTTACTGGAAAACAAATAAAAATACTGATGACGAAAGTGATATTTGCAGTGTCAGATTCATTCACAAACAAAGAAACAAATGAAAAACACTCCGGAGAAACAACCATTAAAATCCACTATCATAAATACAGTTTACCTAATAACGTTGAGGAGAAAACAGGAAACATGAAGTACATCATTTTTTACTTGTTTTTTTTTTTTCCCAAAGCTTTTCTATCAAAAGCAACGCTGACATCACGAGGTCACAGACACAGAGGCGGTGAACGGGGCTGAAGGCACGTCGCAGGGCTGACAAGAAACGTCTGCTCAGGTGGTTTGGCTGCTGATTCCTCTGTAGTGTGGAGAGTTGGCTACTTCAGGAGAGCGCGGTACAGTAAGAGAGATCTGCTGGTCTTTCTCTCCTGCTCCATGTAGAAGATGAAGTCCCTGAGGTTGACGCGTGTTATTCTCTGGCGGTTATACTGCTGCGACGAGCTGGACGGGGCTGACGATCCGCCCGGAGAACCTGCCGAACTCCCCGACACCTGACAACAAAACACAATTCTCTTATTAAACAAACAGAGCACTGAACTGATTTGAAGTGCATGGAAGACTCAGTTCACAAATGCTTCCAGTGAAGTTTGACATTCTAACAAAACATGAAAACATTAGATAAAATAATCCATTTTAACATACTGAATAGATTTATATGGTTCAGAATGGAATGAAAAATGTTTAATATCAAACTTTCTCAGATACATTTTTTACTGAGCTTGTCACAATTCACTCTGGAATTGTCTTATCTGTGAAGGATAAATGTGATGCTGACCATATCTGAAGCACCCCAAAGACGACAACGCTGCTCATTTTTTAACTTTTAATAAAAAAAACTAGAAGTTGCAATATAGTAAATAGTTAAATTACATAAAATTATTATAAATATTTAAATTCCAATATTCTAATGTCCATCATGATTTACATTATTACAATAAATGTACATTTGTGAATGCAGGCTTTAAAAAAAATAATTCCTACCTAATTAATTTAGACCTTGACAATTTATATAGGTATGTCCCAAATCGCATACTTATGCACTATTCTATGACATTTTGTAGTATAGATAGTGCGAGTAGTGCGTTCACACTGAAAATTCCAAAAAGAAAAAGGGCACTTTAAATACCCGGATGATGGACTTAAAGGGTTAGTTCACCCAAAAATGAAAATTCTGTTATTAATTACTCACTCTCGTGTTGTTTGAAACCCGTAAGACCTTCATTCATCTTCTGAACACAATTTAAGATATTTTTGATGAAATCTGAGGGCTCTCTGACCCTCCCATAGACAGCAAGGTAACTACCACATTCAAGGTCCAGAAAAGTACCAAGATGATCGACAAAGTAGTCCATGTGACATCAGTGATACAACTGTAAAGTTACGAAGCTACGAGAATACTTAGAATCCGGCGTAATGACGTCATCACGCCGGATCTGGGTCAGCGCCGGCACCGCCACACGCTCGCGTCATGATACTGTCGTGAACGTGCGTCCAAAAGTGACGCAGTAGAGACGAAAATGTGGAATAAAGTCATTATTTTTGTTTTCTTTACGCAAAAAAATTATTCTCATAGCTTCGTAACTTTACAGTTGAACCACTGATGTCACACAGTTTACTTTGTCGATCATCATGGTACTTTTCTGTGCCTTGAATGTGGTAGTTACCTTGCTGTCTATGGGAGGGTCAGAGAGCCCTCAGATTTCATCAAAAATATCTTAAATTGTGTTCCGAAGATGAATGAAGGTCTTACGGGTTTGGAACAACACGAGGGTGAGTAATTAATGACAGAATTTTCATTTTTGGGTGAACCAACCCTTTAAATAACCGAAAAAATTAAGTGTGGAATGTTGGACACTTCAAGCACTCAATTGTCGCAGCTTTAATTACGTATCGAAGGGGGAGGGGCTATCAGACTCCGATTATGAATGACAAAATAACCTTATATAATTCATACTATATATGGTTGAGTACATAGTGCATAAGTACATAGTGTATGAGTGCATAGTGCGTCATTTGGGACGCAGCTTATGAATCATTTAATAAATGCTTATATACATAGTTATATACAAATATTCACTTTATATTTTAATTACTTTTTTAATTTACATTTTCTATTTTTATCATTTTAAATTGTACTAATTTTCATAACTTTTCCACATCTAAAATTCCTTTATTCAGTATTTTCAGGTTGTCCACAATCATATTAACACTGATTTTAAATGGCTGTTTTTAAGGGAACAAATGATTTCAATATTCATTCAGACTTCAATGACACTCGTCTGCTTACATTTGATGTAATGATCATGTGACTCTTTCCTGCTTCCACTGAAGCTCAAGATGCTCTTCGGATCATTGCAAATCATGCTGGAGAACATGATCATCAGGTTTTGTTCACCCTCAGTGCTGCTGTCAGTAAAGCAAAGCCAAATACTAAGACTTTCCCATATTCATATTCATTTTTTTCTTCAACTTTGAGCTGTCAAACTCTCATACAGTACAGGATGAATCAGATTTAGCTCCACGTCAGTGGACAGACAGAGTCACACACAGTTTATACAGGCCAACAGTCTTAAAACACTGCCATAAGGCATAAAAACTGAATTAATTTCAGCATTTCTGATCTAAAAAACAAAAATGGCTTTTCTTATACTTAACTACAGTGCTGGGTAGATTACTTACAAACTACAGTCCGTTACTGATTCCAAATTACATGACAACAATTGTAGTTATTAACATAATCCATTACGTTACACATTTTAGGTAATATAATCGGATTACTTTTTGATTACTTTTAAATTACTTTTGACCTAACTCGTTTGATTTAAATAGTATAATCTTGTACCATATTGATATTAAAATACAAAGAGTAAGAAAATATATTATATTCCATTCGTTGTATTTAACAACACGAAGTGCATTAAACATTATTGGATCAATGTTAAACTGAGGTTTGTAAAGGGTTTTTGCGAGTTTCATGAAAATTTAACAATTAATTAAACGATAATGTAAAATTAAAATAAGTCATTTTAAAATAACATCAATCAAAATAAAATGCTTACCAAAGAAATTAAATGTTTTATTTGTTTACCTGCATGTCATGTGACCATTAATCAACGTCAGAGAACCGTGAACATGCAAATGTGATCCTTATTTATTAAAATATTTATTTTAAAATCTCAGGGGTACTACAAATAAAAATATATTAGGTGAAAGAAAATCTGTTTGGGAATGCCTGCATTACATGCAATTAAAAAATAACGTGAATTTGTGCATTTTAATGTGTTTGAAAGACAAAAGCCTTCCAAAGACATGGTACATAACCTACTGAGTAAAAAAAAAAAAAAAATTTATTCATCAGTAGTTGATGTAATGCTGAAACATTTCTTAAATCTGAAATGATTTTTGTAAATCCAGTGGTCAAATGTTGTGTAGCCACCTGACTAATGATCTCTGTGTGAACGTCCACAAAACTGAAGACTTTCTGAGTGTATATAAGCAGCAGGCTATTTTAGAAAGGAACATTCAAAAGATGAAAAAGGGGAATTGGGGAGAATCAATAAATTATGAATAATTTATTGCTATTGAGTGAATAATATGCAATCAACATAACTGTAGTCTGATTACGAAAAGTACTTAATTTTTGGAATCTGATTACATAGTCCAGATTACATGTAATCAGTTACAACCCAGCACTGCTTAAATACTAGTGGATTACTCGCTTTATCTCAAACGGGCTTATTCTTCTGCTCACATTCTGTTCATCTGCTTCTCTGGAGCATAAACTGAAGCAGAAGTCCAATAAACACACAGATTCTTACACGCTGAGTCAGATTCCGTCTTTCATGAGTAACAGAGAAATATGGGATGGTAGAATCCAAGCAACCCAAACAACCGTGCAAAATAAGACCGGAAATGAAGTCTCGCTCTCCGACAGACGTCGCACAATTAGACTGACTGCGCTCGGTAAACACAACAGCGAGACAAGCAGGCCGAATGGAAAGCAGCTGACGCGTACGGCACGTTAACCCAAGCTCAAACCCTTCATACGCCACCCAGCGCAGGGTGGCTGCTTCGCTCTCGTCTCCGGCGAGCCGTCGGCCGATCTGACAGGTGGAGTGTGCTGAGGTGGGGTGAAGTCAGGACAGGCAGCGTGCAGGACGCCCTCGGGGCCTGGGACCCTCCAGAAGAAGGATCTGGCCTCATCAGGCCAATCAGAGTTGACCTCATGTGAAAGGCGGGCATGCCTTCTGCCACGGCAATTAATGGCAATCACAGCCTGGACCAATCAAACGCATCCATCTACCTGGACACGCTGACGGACCTCTGGCGGGTTTGTGTGCTCAATATTCACATGCAGGCAGTGTTTCAGAGATGCGAGAAAGAAAAACAGAGACAAAGGAAGAAAATGTGCATGAAATATATTTTTGAATTGGGATTATATCAAAATCAATAACAAGATGTTTGTGAATTGTTTAGAATGATTTCAAGCTACAGGTTTTGTCCCTTAAAAATGACCAGGAAAAAGTATGAAAGTCTTAAAAGATACAGTTTTAAAGGATTGTGCCACTCACTGAAAATTAGCCGTGGTTCAACAGAGATCAACAAAAAATCTGAAAATAAAATGCAACCAAATGTTATTTTAGTATTATTTACATATTCTAGTTTTTCCTTAATATTTTAAGTTAGCATTTTTATTTGTTTTTATCTTAGTTTTTTACAATATTGTTATGTGCCCTTGTAATTTGTATTAGTTTGAGTTATTTTTTATTTCTATTTAGCATTAATGTAGTTTTTACTTTTAGTTTCAGTAATTTTAGCACTTTAACTTCTAATATTACAGTTTTTTTCTAGGTTTTTCATCAAATCTTACTTCAGATTTATTTTAATTAGTCAAGTCACCTTTATTTATATAGCGCTTTTAACATTACAGATTGTGTCAAAGCAACTTTACAGTATTAAATAGGAAAAATAGTGTGTAATAACGCAAAAGGACAACATTAAACAATTAATTTTCAGCTAAAGTCATTTTATCATTGATTCAGTGATGTCATCGTCCAGCTCAGTTCAGTTCATTATATTAATGAAAATTATTTTTTAAAGTTTGTTAGGTTAATGTTAGGTTTAGTTAACAATAACAACATTGTAAATGCCAGGGCACTATTTGATTTATTTAAAAAATATGTTGACCTGAGATTTGATCACATGACATCAAAAAAAAAAAAAGGTTTATTTGTTATATTATGTAATGCAGAGGCTATTTACACCAGTGCAAAAAAAGGTGGAAGTTATTTTCACTGTGTAAGTAGAAAAAGTACAAAATAAACCATATAAATAGCAGTAGATTCTGTTTGGACCAAGTATAAATGGTAACAAACAGCTTCTCCAAATAAGCCAGTCCAAATATTAATAGATTAATAGAAGGTACAACATCTGAGCAACAGTGCACAGAGTTAGTGAAAACAGCCTTTGCCAACAATGTTAGCTATTTGAA